CAATTTTTGATGGATAGTTGTCCTCCTAAAATATTGTTATAATCTACAGTCTCACCATCAACATATAAGAATGCAGATCTAGTACTTTTTAACAGAGCATACACATAAGAATAAAAACATGGAATTTTGTTCCAAATATACAAATTATAAGCAAATCCTATGTGCTCTGCTTCCCCAAACTACAATTTCTTTATCTGTAAAATGGAAAAAATATCTGCCCATATCTACCCTATGGGTAGATCATAATAAGGGTTAAATGAGTTAAAGCATATAAAAACATAGTGCAAGTAGTAAAGGTATCATTTATATAATACAGCTGTATGGCATATAGCCTAGTTTACCCTATGAATATGTAGACCTACTATGTAAATATCAGCAGATATTTAGGTGCTCCCACGTCAACTTCAAATAACTATTGTGAATTTTACACTCTTATCTCTACTGGCTTTAAAACCACCCAAGCTGCACATTGTGAGAAAAACTACTGTAGAACAAATGTAAGGAGATTTTCAAAGTGGTCAACCAACTTCCTAAGCATAAAAACAAGAAGGGAAAGCTGCAGAAATAATTACATTTGACTAAATAACATTTTTTTTCAAAATATTAAAAGTCAAATAACATGATGAGAAGAGTTTACAGAAGAATCAAGATTCTAACCATTTGCTACTGTGCAAAGCATTAGGAAGGAGGTCCACAACAGAAAGAACTCAAGGAAAAACCACAGTAAGGGAATAGGGTCAAGAAGAGAATGGAAAACTAAGAAAATTGGCACTTGGGCTAAAGAGGCAGCATATGCTGAAACAAAGTAGGATTCATTTCTTCAAATAAAATCACTAGTAAAACTGGTAGAGTGATTACCTGTGACCATAAAAAGTAGATCCCCAGCTAATGTTTTAGGTGTAAATGACCCTGGAAGTCTACAAACTTCACTAGTTTTAACTCATGATTAGAAATGGAATACGGAAGGATGTTATTATCTTATACCTAGAAAATGGGCTTCCTAACTGCAAGGGAAGAAGTTCATTTGCCGTAAAGATTTTCACCCTTTGGTGGAAGTAATAAGTGCCCTCAGAAAAATAGGGAGTTGAAGTGTCCAGTGAATAATAAGTGAAATGTGAGTATCTCAATGAACAAAGAGAAGTATCCAAAATCACTCATAGTCTGAGGATAAGATATCTCTTAGTACTGGGATTTCCAACATTTGTGACATAATTGTTGCCCTAACCACTTTTAGATATATTCTGGTTTGCTCCTTCCTCTTTTATCTCTAGTGAGTATGGGCATATCAATCACAGTCACTCATGGCTCTTCCTAAACATATTCTTTAGAAATAACTTTTTTGAGGTTTTTTTTGAAGCCATGTTTCTTCTTCTTAAGCCTAAACCCAGTCCTTCAGATGCTAAGAGTTCACAATGGAAAAAAAAAAAAAAATACCTTCTTTAACAAATGGTGTTAGTAAAACTGATATCTATGTGCCAAAAATTATATTGGACAGTTATCTGTCAATTCAAAATGGATTAAGGACTTTAATGTAAGAGCTGAAATTATAAAACTCATACAAGAAATCATAGGGGAAACTTTCATGACATTGGTCTTGGCAATGATTTCATGGATATGACATAAAATCACATTAAAGCAAAAAATAGTTAAGTGGTATTACATCAAACTAAAAAGCTTCTGCACTGCAAAGAAAAAAAAATTCAACAAATTACAATACAAAGCAGCCTACAGTATGAGAGAAAATATTTGCAAACCATGCATTTAATAAGAGGCTAATTCTCTAAAAGCATAAGAAGTTCCTGGAGCTCAATAGCAAAAAAAAACCTAATAACCTAGTTTTTAAATGGGTTAAGGACTTCAGTAGATATTTCTCCAAAGAAGACATTCAAAGATCAATTGGGGCCTCCTTGGTGGCGCAAGGGGCCTATGAAGCTATGCGCAGCCACTGCAGCATGAGTTTGATCCCCGGCCAGGGAGCGGACCAACATGGCACAGCAGACCTCTCCTGTCTCGCCAGCTGCTCCCCTCAGCAGTGTATTTCAGTCGATCTGCCTGTTCTGCTCCCCACTCTCTCTGGTGAATCCTCTCACCTCCCACACCTCTGGCTTACACCCAAGTTCTTATATGCATAAATAAGTAAATATTTAAAAATAAATTAAATTAAATATAATACTATCCAGCCATCCCACTTCTGGGTATTTATCCAAAAGAAATGAAATCAGAATCTCGAAAAGGAGTTTTTTGCACTGAAGGAATTTTTTTGCACTAAAGCACTATTCACAACAGTCAAAATGTAGAAAAACCTGAAAAGGAAGGAAAAACCTCCCTTTTGAGGCACTTGTCCTCTTTTTTTAATCAAGAAAAATAAAAATGTGGACTAGCAGAATGAACCTAGACTCTGGAGACAGACTGCCTGGGTTTGAAGCAGGTTTTCTAACTTGGTAGCTGTGTGACTTTCATGGATTACATAACACTAGTTCTGTGATTCTATTTCTCCAACTGTAAATAGGGATGATTTTCATAAGCATATTTCAAGGATTAAGTGAGTCAATCCACTTAAAAATGCTTAGAAAGGGCCCGGCACACAATAGATGTTATTTATTACTCTATGAGTTGCTGAATGAATGGTTTAAATAACTCATATGGAATTAGAAAGTCAATTAAATATTTGTTCATACAAGACAAAACATTTATATAAATGTAGTTCTGTTATTTATTTTCTTCTACTGGCAAAACAGTCCTAACGCGGATGTACACATATGCTTTCTTAAGAGAAAGAAGAGGGCTTAGGTTGATTGAGTGCCTATGGTCTGCTTGACACAGTAAGGATAGATTTACATGCACTAATTGTTTCTCCTTATTCTCACAACACTCTTGAAAATTGGGTATTTTATCCCCATTTTTCTTGCACAAAAGTTGACCCAAATCACAGTGCCTAGCAACATCTGGATGTGATTTCAGGCTTATGTGACTACAACAGCCATGCGTCAACACAGATGTCCACAGCCTGCTTCCTGTGTCGCCACCGATTTCAAACAGCCACCCAAAAGAGGATAAACTGACATCATTATTTTTGAAGCATTTCAAAAGCCAGTAAGAAACAAATTATTTATTTGCTATGTCTCTATGGTTTTCTATTTAAATAAGGCATTGTTCTAGCTATAATACTCTAGATGACTAAATCTTTGCTTTAATCATTGAGTAATCTTAAAAAATGTAATCCTGTAAAACAAAAATATTTTCTGAATCTTTAAGGATAAATTAATATAGGATGCCTCAGAAAAGATGGGCTGCGGTTAACAGGGAATAATTTGGGGGAATATAGTAACCTAGAAATGAACTATAACTTGCTGAATTTTACTCTTATTCAATATTCCTTTGGCATATGTAGACATTCAGTGAAACCTACCATTCAGTGAAACCTACAGAGAATACTCTGTCATTTGAGAAGTACCAAGTTTTTTGGACACATTGCTTGCTTGCTTGTTTGCTTGCTTGCTTGACAATTTTATTTCTTCCCCCATATTTGTATGTTTATTTATTTTTATTTATTTTGCATAGAAAAACTGGGGTGTAGGCCAGAGGTACAGGAGGTGAGAGGATTCACCAGAGACAGAATGGGGAGCAGAACAGGCAGATTTACTGAAATACACTCTTGAGGGGACCAGCTGGTGAGACAGGAGAGGTCTGCTGCGCCCTATTTGAATTAGCTCCCAGAGGCTTGAACTCAGCCTGTAGTGGCCATAGCACTGAGACTTAACCCCTAGGCCACCAGGGAGGCCCAAGTACACACTGCTTTACATGCTCAAAAATAGAAACAGGGCCTCCCTGGTGGCACAAGGGGTTAAGCACAGCACTATGAAGCTATCCACAGCCTCTACAGCATGAGCTGGATCCCCAGTCCCGCCAGGGCGTACCCACATGGCACAGCAGACCTCTCCTGACTCACCCGCTGCTCCCCTCAGCAGTGTATTTCAATAGACCCACCTGCTCTGCTCCCCACTCTGTCTCTGGTGAATCTTCTCTCCCCACCCCACCCCCACACCTCTGGTCTGTACCCCAGTTCCTGTGTGCATAAATAAATAAATCTTTGAAAAAAATAGAAACAAACATCCAGTGTTGATGCTTGTTTTAGAAACATATGCATTGACCTAGAAATGTAAATCAAGTACATAAAAGAAAATAAATGATATATTCTTTCACCGTGGATGTGTCTGTATCAAATTACTAGTGTTATACTAGTAATTTGGAAAAGGAGACTCAGGATATATTTTATTTTCCCATGTCTTTTTTGCTATTTTCATTTTATGGTGAGTAAAGGAAAAAAGGAGTAAGACCAAGATAACCTTTCCATTTTGTCCTAAAACAGAAAACAGGAAGAGTGAGCACTGCCATCTTTTGGTTACACAACATAATAATTTTAAATCATTACACTTAGCCAGAAGAATGCAGTTAGTCATCACCAAACGAACAGAAACACTCCCCTGAAAAGCATCAATTCTTTCCTCATAATATCTTTCTTCTGGAAAGAACTCACAAAGATTCTAAAATCTATTTTTCTTCTAGTAGTAGACAGAGATCATGCCCATGGGTTCAGAGTCTCCGAAAGACTGCTAATAGTTCTAGCTATATTTAATAATCCTAAAGCATTCGGAGTGGACAGCGACAGCAGAAGTAGAGAACTGTTTCCTTTAATCATTAAGTCAGTTTCACGATTGCCCTAGGAGTCAAAGCTTGAGCAAAAGGATGGATCCCTTCCTTGGACCAGGAATGCTGTGGCAGATCAGCCAGCTGTCCACCCCAGGCTTCATCTACTACAGCAAAAGAAAACAGATAGGAAGTCTGGAAAGGGAATAAGCACATTCCAGGAATGCTCTATTTTTTTTTGAGGAAATGGTGCTCTTATAGAAGAAAGCTCTAGGCATTTACCAGAAGGACGGTCAGGCCTGGCTCTCAGCTGTGTTAGCTGCCCAGGACCATAGACATGGCTGCTACACATGTCTCACAAGCAACAGTGCTGAAGACAAGACTTGGGGTAGTATAGGAGCAGGATGGGCACTGAGCAGGTTTCTATGATCCAGCAGACGGGTAAAGGTGAGTCTTGGAACTCTCGGTGGCTTTCTCAGGCTTTTATTGAGCTGTTACATATAGAGCAGCAACCAGATACATAGCAAGCAGGGGTGCCAGGAGGCTAGCAGGCCTGCAAGCCCCCCTGCCCAAGTCTTTACCCTGGGCTTCTCAGGCCTTCTTTCTCCCCTTCTCTCTCCTGCCTCTCTCCTCCTGCTTTTATCTCTCTCCCCCTCCCCTCTCCCCCCTTCCCATCCTCTCCCCTCCTCCCCTCCCCTCTCCTCCTCCCCTCCTGCCCTCCCCTCCCTCCCCCCCCCTCCTCTTCCCCCCCCCTCCTCTCCCCTCCCCCACCCCTCCCCCTCCCCTCCCCCTCCCCTCCCCCTGCCCCCTCCCCTTCCTCCCCACCCCTTCCCTTCCTCCCTCTCCCCTCCCTCCCCCTCCCCTCCCTCCCCTCTCCCTCCCCTCTTCCCATGAACACCAAGGTAAATGAGTCAGTTTGCAACAATGTAACAACTGCAGGTGCCCCATAGGCAAGGCAATCCTAATGGCGGGAGGGCACACAAGCCTGAAAAACCATTTACCCTACAGGTTGGTAGGGGGTCTGTATCTTTAGAGGGAATTTTGTGAATTTGAAGAGAGGAATCTAGAAAAGAAATATATTCCCTTGGATCGTACATGGGTGCAGAGAGAAAAATATCAAAATTAATTTTTAGAAAGTTTGTCAAGGTGGCAAGGAAAAAATGGAAATTATGACCATTTCATAGCAGTTGAGTGAAAGTAAACTAAACTTGATATTTGTATTTCCTCCAATACCACTTTCCAATAAACTGACATATTTTTGGACATAAAAGAGTGGAATGTATCTCTCCCTGTTATTTAAAAAATAATAATAAAAGCATTTCCATAGCTATCAGAGAGTAAACTGTGTCTGGGGAGGACCTGGTTCCTATATCTGGTTCCCCACTAACTAGCTGCGCACCCTGAAGTCATGTGATCCCTCTTGAAGAGAGCACACACAGGCCCATGGTAAAATCCTTCACTGCCCTAGCGCCCAGTGGCCTCCTTTCTTTTCTAACAGCATTAAGGTTGTCTTCCTAATCTACAAATCAGCTTTCTTCAATTCTGATATTGCTTTTCAGGCCAGGTCCAGTTCAAAGACCTCTCTACATCTATGAATTATTTTCCAAGACCCCTAAGTTCTCTGGTTTGAGAGCAATCAGACTACATCAATTCTAATGACCTTCCTAGCTCTAAAATTCTGAGATTTTTTTTCTTCACTAAATCCCTCTAGATCTAGAGAAGGGAGAAAAGGAAACACATTTATTTCTTTCTTCAGTACTCCTCCCTTTTCTGACATGCATTCATCCCATTGGTCTGAATTTCTAAAGCAGTGCTTACCAATACAAGTATATCTATTAGAAATTTTCTACTGGCCACATTTTTAAAGTGAAAAAAATCAGGTGAAGTCAACTTTAATAAAATATATATTTCATGTATAATAAAATATGTATAATAAAATAAAATATATATTTTATGTAACTCAATATAGCAAAAAAATTAATCATTTTGACATGCCATCATTGTAAAAATGAGTGAGATGGTTTATAGCCTTTTTGTCCACCTAAGTCTTGGAAAACCAGAATGGGCTTTACCTTACAACACACCTCAATTCAAACCAGCCCATTTCCAGTGTTCAGCGTGCGCAGGGGGCTGCGATTAGAAGACCCGGTGTCCAGGAGCAGATGATGCACAGATAGAGTCCTCTCGATAGAAAGCTGATGCTTTGCCATCCAGGTTGTCTGAAATATAGCCCTGCTAGGTTGCCCAGTCCCAGAACCTAGGGAAGGTCTAGGACCCACAGAGAGGGCTCAGAGAGCCGGGAAAAATTATCTACTCAAAAATCCTGAGCCCAAATGCTGCTTCAAGCTTTCAGTCCATCCCTTCCCAAAACACTGGAAAAGAGGTATTCCTTTCCTTTCTAACCCTAATGCTGTTTTACCACAACAAAATCCAAAATGTTTTTCTTAACAGACCATCCCCTGGGGAAGAAAGTAATTATCTTTCTATCTTTGGATTCAGGCAGATAGTGATTACGCACAAAATCCCTGCTGTAGAAACAATAAGCATGTGTATTAGTGTTCATTTTTTAAATGACATGGAAACTTCCATTAATTCACCAATTCTATTATAGGAGTTGTGACTCAGAGACTGCTTATGATTATTGTATTTTTTTGTTGTATGACATGAAAGCAAAGAAATGATGGAAATATCTAGAATCTACTTTGGATGTCAGTTATCTTGATTTCAGTTTGAGAAATTCTGCCTCCATTTATATAAACACCTGGAATATAAGAAATTTTGCAAGCTGTAAAAAGGCTGACTACTTTATAAGGGAGGAGATAAAGATTTTTGTTTAAGTACTCAGCCAACACACTAAAATAAAAGTACCATGTATGTATAGAAGTCAGAGTTTCCTACCTTTATCAAAGTGGCTTCTGGCAACTCTACATTTCCATTTTCTCATTTATTGGGGATGAAAGTAGAGTTAGAGGCATTAAAGGGATCCAATTATTTCCTACTTTCTTAGGGAAAAAGAACACACGCACAGATTAGATCAACATCAACTTATTTGTGCCAACAATTCATCACAATGTGCCATTCCAGCTGCCTCCTTTATCCTTCTAAGAACAAATTTTGCTGTGTCAGAGGGTTGGCAGAAGCTATTGGGAGCTTTGGATAAGCCATTTATCAAGTCACTGGTGACAAAATGAGATTTCACTATACCTCATTCAAACCAATCGCTGTGCTAGCTGTTAATCCATGTGCTGTTCGTGTTGCTGTAGCCAGACACCCAACATCACACTTTCTTATTTTCATCAGTGATGGCAGCTCACGAAGATGAAATCCAATAGCAAGAAGAGGAATTACATTGCAAATAATATAAAGATTTGCAATACTGCATGAATTCAGTACATTATTAAATTAGTACTATGCACTTTTAAAAGGTTGAAACTTACTGAAATGATGCCCCCTCCCTTTCTGGAGGTCTCTTAGACAATCAATAACTCTTCTTGGACTTTGTATGCCCCCAGCACTTGCCCTGGGTGTCTGACAATGGGCTTTCTCTGAATATTGGTTTCACAGAGGAAAGATGTGGCTTCCAGAACAGTGATGTGAATGGGTAACCTAACCAGTCTTAAATATTTATCTTTTTAAAAAACGTAAATAAATATACTTTTAAAAGTAAAGGTCCTTCATAATTTGTGTCCTGATTACCTGGACACAAAGGCAAAAGTGGTCTAGGATTCCTTTTGTTTTCAGCAGCCATTTTCCACCACCTTTGCCCTCAAAATGATCCTTCTGCCTGTCCGCACCCTTTGCTCAATCCTAAGGGGGCATCAAAAGGACTCACATTTGTCACTGTGTGTTGAGTAAAGGAACATCAATTGGAAATTAGCCTAAGTCTTTCAGCTCCATGGAGTCAGTTTTCTTCATTTTGCCCCATCAACTACTTCATTCTGAAGCCAAGTTCCCAGAAGAAAATAAAGTGTATCTCTACTGGGGCTTCTGCCGGTTCCTTTCTGTTTCATCCCAAACTACCCAGAAGTCCTTTGAGATAGCTTAAAACTATCAAGAAATGTGAAAGTTCTGAAATTTTATCCATTTTACACTAAGAAGTCATCTTGTCACTGTTTCGTGGGTGCTGGCAGAAGACACAAGTCTTCTGGGTCTGAGACAAATGACTTTATCACTAACAGTACAGCAAACAGCATTAACATATTTATGTTCACTTCCCTTTCACCCACATGGTGCAGGGATGGGGTGATGGCCCCAGATAATGCCTGGTACTGTGGATTTGCCTTATAGGAGAGGAGGAAAGGAGCTCAGGGATAAGAGCCCAGCACTTGACAGGCAACGAACAAGCTGCCCCCTTGTGACCTACACAATGGCCTGTGTGACTGACTAGAGAAACTGCTCTGTATCAGGAGACAGATCAGCATAAGACCTAGAACACTCAGCAAGTACATGCAGGTATGTCTGATATTTCCAAGTTTCCTTCACATTTACCTTAATCCAAGTTCCTGCACCCTGAGCACTAATGGCCCTGGGCTGACTGTTGAAGATCTTTTGTTGTATCTGTTGCTGAAGGAAAATGTATTGTAGGATGTAAATCTGCCTCACTATGTTTTTAAACAAAATTCATGAATAACTCCTCTCCAGCCCCTCCCATGGTTTCGGTTCCTTTTGGACTATTAGAGAAGCTCTCAGTTTCTGTCAGATGGTAACACTGCAAAAGAACCACCTGCACTCCAATTGATGGAGAGTTCAACATAAAAAAGACAGATATGTCTAATTTAATATGTCTAAAACCAAACTTGTGGTCTTCACACACCAAAGCTCTGCTCAACAGCCCAAGGCAGCTCCACCTTCCCAGTTGCCTGGAGTCATGCCTGCCTCCTCTCTCTTGCCCTATCACAGCCTACTCTGTGAATCCAGACCCTGACCTGCCTCTCGCTCTAATGTGAAGCCATCACTATTTCTTGCCTGGACCATTACAATAGCCTGATGTATTTGCTGCTTGGCTCTTTATTTCTTATGTCAATTTTCACTCCCACAGCCAAAGTGATCCTTTTAATATGAAAAAGCAAGATCATCTTAAGTCTCTATTCAAAACTTCCCATTAACTCCCAACTCATTCTGAATAAAAGATCAATTCTTTATGGGGACTACTAGCTAGGTCCTATACAATCTGCAAACTCTCTGACCTATCTCTATCTACTCTCTCTAATTGTCTCCATTCCAGTCATTCTGGTCTCTTGCCAGCTCCCAGAACATACCCAGTGTGCAGGGCTGTGCCCTCAGCCTGGAGTGCCTCCCGTGTCCAGAGGGCTCACCTCTGCTCCTGTTCAGGCCTCTGCTCTCCCCTTACCCTAGAACTCCCCACCCCTCTTCACTTCATTTTTGTTAGTAGAACTTATCCCCATTTGACTACAGACATTTACTTTCCTTCCACTAAAACAAATGATCAACAATCAGGGATTCCTTTTGCCCTTATGTTCATTGCTACATCCCCAGTGCTTAGAAAAGTATTTACCAATCACTGAGCAAGCAACCAATAAATTGCTATTGAATTCATCAACTCAATAAGTATTTGCCATCTACCTTTTCAGCTTGTCGTCCAAGGGAAAAAGAAGCAAGTCAAGAGGAATTTGTAATATGGTGGGTCTAGTGCCACATTTGTAGAAATGTAGAGTATTACAGGTTTATAAAGTAGGCTAGATTTGGGACACCCAGATGGGAATCATTTAAAAATCCAGGACCTGGGCCTCCCCAGTGGCACAGTGGTTGAGCGCTGGGTTGCGAAGCTGCCCGCAGCCTCTGCAGCGCCGGTTCGATCCCCGGCTGCCCAAGACCTGCAGAGAAGTCCCACTGACAGCCTGCGTGTCTCTATTTGTGATTATCAATGTGTCAGTTGTTGCCTTTCTAGGTAAAAACTTGGTGAGGGAACATTTATGTCATAATGGATAGCACAGGAGTTTAATAAACAATACAAAGTCATCTGAAATGAGTTAAAATTATTTTAAATTATTTCATAGTGTTTTGTAAACTTTCCATCCTGGGTTTAAGTACCTTTAAATCTTGACTGAACAATATAATTATGTCAAAATGTCCTCTAATTATTATTAATGTGGGGACACGTTTCACAAAATTGTAACTGCAGGTATCTACATGCCTTTTTAGAGCCTGTACTTTTCGTGGAACTGCCTTCATCTGCACATACCTCTGCAGCCCGTGGTCTGTGTGGCTCTCTCACTCATCCTATTTGCCCTATTTTTCTGAATTTCCTGGTTGTTTCCTCTACTTTAAGCAACATTTGCTCAAATAAGCCATCAAAGTGGAAACTTCTCCTATAGGTTCAGGGTCTCAAAGTCACTTTTCTCACCATTCTCCCCTTGGTATCTCCATCCTCCTTCTTCCTCCTTTGCCTTCCATTCTTAAAGGTTTGACTGTTTTTGTTGTTGGTTATTGGGCTATGGTGGTTTTTTTGGTCTTTTTATTTCTGAACAGGGAAATTTAGGTGACATAAATTCTCACTTTTCAAGTAAAAACATGTCTTTCTACCTCTGATTATTTTTTCTCTAGAAGACAACTTTGAGCTTCTTTTCTTAAAGAGCAGGGAGATTTGCCTGTGTGCCTCTTCCACTCACCCCTCCTCTGGCTACCTTGTTCTTCCCATGGGATGCAGGAATTCCAAGACAAAAAAATCTCCTTAAAACATACCTAAAAAACTAACTAACTGGACCTCCCCAGTGATGCAGCTGGTTGAGCGCAACGCTGTGAAGCTGTCCACAGACTCTGCAGCGCTGGTTCAATTCCCAGCCGGCCAGGGAGATTCCCACATGGTGCGGCAGACCTCTCCTGCCACGCCCGCTGCTCCCCTCAGCAGTGCTTTCTGTCTGCCTGTTGTGCTCCCCACTCTGTCTCTGGTGAATCCTCTCACCCTCCCGCGCCTCTGGCCTGTACCCCAGCTATTGTATAAATAAAAAATAAATCTTTTAAAAATTTTTAAAAAACTAACTAATACTAATAATTTATTAACTGCTGACTACATGCTAAATGTTCTATATCCACTCCATCACTCAGTCTACATGACAACACATGTAGGCACAAAGGCAAAAACCTCAGACTCAGAGATGGTTAGCATTTTAGCTAAGGTATCCTGAGACTGGCTGATCCAACCAAGCATACTCCACCTTGCAAACTAGTCAGGGAAGTTGAAAAGGGATAACAAAGCAGTGAGCAAAAGTGCAGCTCTTACAGGAATCACTAGGATTACTGATTAGTAGAATATACTGGCAATACTTGATCCTTGTCTTTGAAGAAAGGTTAAGAATGTCTCCTCTCCTACCTCTGTTGGTCTTATTCTAGGGTAAGCCCCATTCAATATGGTTAGAATCAAATGCTGGTGAAAGATGATTTAAGGATGATTCAAGCTGACATAGCTCATGAGCCCAGTGGCAAAATTCTCAGCACCGTTCAGAACCTGCCTCCTTGTGCTATTCCTTCCCACCCCATTGTCCATCTTACCCAAGACTAAGCTTTCCTTTGTCTCAGCAGCTGCCTGAAAATAGCGGATCCTGCAGGACATGCCCTTCTCTATCTCACCCAGTTTCCATTCAAATCAAGCTAACTTTAGCCTGAATTGACTGATTGTGTCTTTCATCTTTTTCAGTTTGTCCAAAATATTCATCACTAAATCATTCTGATTGGTATGTCCTTAGACAAGTCTTGGGTTCTTGTGCTACACTGTTCAGCTGGTTTCTGGGACTACAAGGTCTTGATGACCAGTGGCAGGTGCCACCATTGGGGGAACCCATCTGCCTTGTCAAGGATCTTCCAACAGCACCTGCTACTTCCTGTTTGAAAGCTCAAGCCCCAAGTAGACCCACCACTAAGTCAGTTTCCAGTCAGTTCTAGTTCTAGTTCTCAGCTCATTTGCATAACAGAAATGACACTGAACCCAGAGGTGCCCAGGCCCCAACAACCCGGGTGACCAGCTATGCCAACCCACTCTCCTTCCCTGCCTCTCTCTGAGGATTCATCTGTGGGTTACACATCTTCCCCACAAAAGGACTGTCCTCCAGTCTGAACTCTAACCAGGACATTGTCATGGTAGTGAAAGGTGTTTTTCACATCTCAGTCTTTGCTATACCGTTGTCACAATTTCTGTGATGGCTGAGCACCATCTATGTGTTCTATGTGCATTACATATTTTGATTCTTAAAGAACTTTGTGAATAAAATGAACTAATTTCCACAAATTGAAGATGAGGAAAAGTTATCCAACAGTACGATAATTATTCTAAGCTCACACACAGCTGGTTAGTGGCAGCTCTAAGCAGTCTCACTACATGACTGCTATCCAAACATTATTCCATCACCCCATTACTGTTGAGTTGATTCAGAATGTAAAACAACATATGATGTTTGTATAGCACCATTGTTTTCAAGCTTGCATATCTTATTTCTTCATCAGGACACTCACTTGAAGAGGCAAGATAAATGTTATTTTTAGCAATAGTTTGTCAATTCAGTTTCCTCTCGGATATGGCTGCAGCAATTTGGGGAAAAATATAAAAGAAGCAGAAAGGGACTAAGGAGATACCAAGCTGAATGAAAATGGAATTGGATTCATAGAAACAGGGGAGAAGTTGGTGGATTGGGTGAAATGGGTTGAAAGGGTCAAAAGGTACAAACTTCTAATTATAAAAAAAGGTAATTCCTGGGATGTAATGTACAGTCTGGTGGCTATAGTAAACAATACCTTATTGTATATTTAACAGTTGCTAAAAGAGATCTTAAAAGACCTCATTATAAGCAAAAATATCATAATTATACATAGGAAAGAAAATGAATTTGAATCATAGCGGTGAACAATTTGTGATACATACAAGCATGGAATCATTAGGTTATGCACTTGAAGTTACCCTAATGTTTTATGTCAATAATACCTCAATTTTAAAAAGTGGAGCTGGGTTCTCACTCTTCTCCTGGGACCTGCTCTGTTCACAAAAAATGTTGTCATTATGTCTGGGTAGTAAATCCCCAGGATGTCATCCCACTTTGAGAAGGAAAATAATGAGCAACCCCTGTTACAGATAACAAGCAAGGAAAACACAATGAAATTTATACTGAATTAAAGATCGTTGATAACAGAGTAAGAGAATCTAGAGTTAAGGCTCTTACCAGAGTGCTCTGAAGAAGGGAAAAAATCTGAATTGGGTTCAAGCCCAATCATAGGTTTCTAATTCTTTTCAGAATATTTGCGATCCTACGATGTAGAAATCATGGGCCATAAAGGAAGAGAAGAACTATTGTAAATGGTGTCAGTGAATTGGTGACTCTTGCATTTTTGGTTTTTTTTTAAAGATTTATTTATTTATACAAGCACTGGGTACAGTCAGAAGCACGGGAGGGTGACAGAATTCACCAGAGCCAGAGTGGGGAGCAGAGCAGGTAGATGGACAGAAGACACTGCTGAGCGGGGCAGTGGGCGCGGCAGGAGAGGGCTGCGCGCCATGTGGGACCCTCGCCGGTGGCCAGGGATCGAACCGGCGCTGCAGAGGCAGCGGGCAGCTTTGCAGCTCAGCGCTCAATCACTGCGCCACAGGGGAAGGCCCTCTTGCATTTTTTGGCAGCTACTTAGTACATTCCTACCATGTAATGGACACATAGTCTGTATTAGCCATTTGCTTCTCACAACTTCATGCAATAAGAATTACTGTCTTCAGACCTCCCTGGTGGCACAAGGGGTTGAGCACCGCTCTATGAGGCAGATCGCAGCCTCTGCAGAACGAGTTCGATCCCCAGCCAGCCAGGGAGCAACTCACATGGCACAGCAGACCTCCCCTGAATCGCCCGCTGCTCCCCTCAGCAGTGTATTTCAGTCAATCTGCCTGTTCTGTTCCCCACTCTATCTCTGATGGATCCTCTCACCCCCCGCATCTCTGGCCTGTACCCCCGCTCTTGTATGCATAAATAAATAGATCTTTAAAAAAAGAGAGAGAATTACTGGCTTCCTTTTCAAGATCAGAATGCTGAGATTCAGAAAAACCAATATACAGTTAACAAGTTTATGTATCTGAATTACAAACCAGGTTTGTCCTGCTCCAGAAGTTGCTCCTCACCATGCTACATCTTCCATATCAGGTCTTCCTCTAAAGAGAAAAATGGTTGAGGTGTGCAAGCACAGTTCCCATTTATGTGCCTCAAATTCTATCACATTTACTGCCTCTGGGCATTTCAAACTGCCTTTTTTGGAATTATAGAAGCTTGTTTATATACAATAAACTTAATTCATTTAAAATTAACATGGATCTTAGCTATCGATTAAGTTTTGAGAACAATAGAGCAGAGGCTTTTCAACTTTTTTGAACTTGACCCACAAAATGAAAAGTCCTTTCTATCACGCTCCAGTACACACAAACACACACATGTGTAACTGAAGTTTCACAAGATTATACTTTCTCTACAAACATAGAACTCTGACATTTTGGATTCTAGTCTAGTCTTTCCCTCTTTCTTTCCTTTTCTTTCTTTGTATTTTTTTATTCATAGTCTTCCTTAATGATCCTTTTGTGTGTGTGGTAAGAACACTTAACATGAAATCGACCCTCTTAACAAATCTTATGTACACAATACAGTGTGGCTAACTATAGACACCATGTGGTAAAACCCATCTCTAAGACTTATTCATTTTGTATATAACTGAAATTTTATACACGTTGAACATCACTTCCACCTCTCCCTTCCCTCAGGCCCTAGACACTACTTTACTACTCCTACTTCCAAGCTTAACTATCTTAGACATCTCACATAAGTCAAATCCTGAAGTGGAAAACAATTATAGAAACTGCTGAAAAAATAAATAATAGATTTTCTCTTTTTTTTAAAGATTTCTTTATTTATGCATACAAGAACTGGGGTACAGGCCAGAGGTGGGGGGGGTGAGAGGATTTACCAGAGACAGGGTGGGAAGCAGAACAGGTGGATCTGCTGAAATACATTGCTGAGGGGAGCAGTGGGCAAGTCAGGAGAGGTCTGCTGCGCCATGTGGGTAGCTCCCTGGCCAGCCAGGAATAGAACACGTGCTGCAGTGGCTGCGTATAGCTTCATAGGTTGCATCTTAATCCCCTGCGTCACTTGGGAGGCCCAGATTTTTCTTTTTAAATACTGGTCACGGGCCTCCCTGGTGGCGCAGCAGTTGAGCGCTGGGTTGCGAAGCTGCCCACAGCCTCTGCAGTGCCGGTTCGATCCCCGGCTGCTCCCTGGCCACCAGAGGAGGGTCCCACATGGCGCGCAGACCTCTCCTGCCTCCCGCTGCTCCCTCAGCAGTGTACTTTGGTCCTTCTGCCTGCTCTGCTCCCTGCTCTGGCTCTGGTGAATTCTCTCACCCTCCCGTACTTCTGACTGTACCCAGTGCTTGTATAAATAAATAAATAAATCTTTAAAAAATAAATAAATAAATACTGGTCACAATCCACTGTATAGATGTCAGGACCCACTTGTGTATGCTACTGCCATTAGAAATGCATTAGAAGAACTTGGACTGTTTGTTTTGTTTTTGCTTTATATTACACAACAGTGTAGTTAAAGGTGGTATTGAAGACTTGTAAAGTAGGTGGGACAAGATAAGAGTACGAGGAGAAAAAAATCTATTTAAAAAATTAATAACCAGTGGCAACTCAGTAGAAATATTAAAACCCTTATGCATTTTTAATAATTGAAAAGATGCTCTTCTAATGCTACTTAATTTCCTACAGGCTGATAAAAGATGATGAAATACAAGATTTGCTTTACTATCTAGACACTTTAAGATGCAAAGAAAACTGAGCCCAAAGGTTAGTTCATCTTCTGTGCCTGCAATAATATTCACCAGCTCATTTGGTAATTAGGGCAAGTTGCTCTGTGAAACAAATTCACAAAAGAGCATGGATATCATTAAACACTAGATGGCGATATAAAACAGGAGTAGCTCTTCTTACTGCTTCTGTTTATGTAGGCTGCAAGGGAATTTAGAAACCCAGGGTTACCCAGTAATAAGTCACATGAATTTAACCTGAAAGTTTAATCAATGTTCCTAGCATGTTTCTGCCTTTTCTTGCAATGTTACTGTATTTCAGCTTCATTCTGGCTGACGGGCCAGCATTAAAATTAGTAGTATTATTCTTGGCAATTTCCTTGTGGCAGTACAGATGAATGGCCCTGCGAAGCTACTATGTCTGCATTTACTAACAATCTGAAAAACTAGCATATGCTAGTAAGGTTTTATTTCTGCCCCATTCCATGTAATATTTAAGAAATACTATGTGTCCTCACATCATTTCCTAGTGTCTATATAGAATTGCTAACAATTTGTATATTTCTTAGTAGTTCTACATATTGTAAACTCACTGGAATACTTAATGGACACTTCCAACCTTGTTGCTTAATTGAAAAGCATGGCCTTCCCTAATAGACATAAGCAAGTCATTTTCCCTGAAACAATTAATATCTGACAAACTGGAAATGTATCATGAACAAAAATGTACACTCTACAATGTTTTTGAAATAGACTTTTGAACCAATCACATGTATAAGAGATTTTTAAATGCCTGCTTGGAGGACTTATTATATTGACTATTATATTTGCTTATTTTTATAATATTTTGTAGTACAAGATAGTTATGCATGCTATTTCTTGCTACTTCTTATATTTGTATTTCATTTGAGTTTTATAGGTACATATTAAGAAATCAGGATTTTTTTAATGAATAATAACAACTATGAGGAAAAAATAGCTTTTAGCATGTCATAACCAGGAAGGTATTACTAAACAGTCACTTAAAGAATAGTCATAATTTAAGTGCTGTGTAGGTTAATCTTGACTATGAATTGTTGATTTGAAAATATTTCTGAATTTAGGTCATTTCTACCATGTTGAGGATATCTATAATTAGCTATCCTTCTTAAAGTGGAAAGAATATCAAGTTGTTCATTATTCTTCCTGTAAAACAATTTGTAAGTCAATGGCTAGTAGCGCCTTTAGTTAAAAACAGCAAATGAAGGTATATTTTACTATCCTTTTGGCTGTACAGTAAGTCACATCCATGCAGTCCTTAAGTTTATGGCATAAAAAGCACCTGCCCTAACATTAGCTCTTTTATACTCCTAATAGCCACTTGAGACTGGTAGAGCACATCAAGGTTCTCTGACGTAAAGTTCTCCACGCAAGGTCATAGTCAGTGAGTTACACAGCCAAGGAAGCACCAACCACTGAGATCTGAGTTCAGGCTATTTGTCTTTCATTTTTATGGGGTTTGAAGATTGTGTCTGCAAATGCTCCCTATATGCAGGAGAGGAAGAGGAAGTCGTTTTAGAAGACACTGAAAGTATTGGGATGCTATTTCTTGCTTTTTCTTCACCTGCATGTGAGGGAGAAAAGGAGGAGGAAGAATCCAGGAAACAGGCAGCCTGTGCCTGTCTCACTCTTAGACCCAGTGTTGAGTGGATGCTTTGGAACACCTGTTGGGTGGATGCTCCAGGCACTATTGATACTGAATCCTGATGCCATTTGATTTGTGACATTGCCCATTACCTTCCAAACTGCCTCTCCTCTAAATACAGCTGTGAGTGAAGGGGACATGGTAGGAGAGGGAGAATGGCAGGCAGGAGCCTCAGAACAAAGACCTTGGTATCCATATTAACATTTTATATTTTATCCTAACAATAGTGATTGACTCATTGGTGAGTTTTAGTGGAGAAGAGGCATAATCAAATTATGTTTTTATGTTTTGCCTAGATTGTAATGTGTGAGAGTCAGGGTGGGGCCAGCTCAGAGGCAGGGAGTAAAGGGAAAGAGGAAACACCCTGTTTGGGGCCTTCAGCGTGTGAAAGTAAGGGAGAAGATTGTGGGGGTGTCCTCTGCTAAGATGGGAGAGAAGAGGAGCAGGCCTGGTACTGGGCAAGGCTGTGTTGGAAGCTCAGCTGTCATGGTGGAGATGAGATGCCTCAGGACATCAAGTGGAGTCATAAAGGAGACACTTGGAGTTGAATCCAAGTTGAAAAGGGGAAAAGGGAGAGGGATCAGAGGGAGGGAGAGAGGAGCACAGGGGACAGAGGTGATGGTGCCCGGGTGCATTAGTGAAGGAAATTCTATGGGGACTACACTGGAGGGGGTGGGGGAAGTAAATATTGTTTAAAAATGAACAATGATGTAAAAAATGAAAGGAAAAGAAAAGAAAAAAGAGAAGAGAGGAGAGGAGGGGAAGGTGGATAGAGGGAGGGAGGGAAGGGGAGGGGAGGGGAGGGGAGGGAGGAGAGGGAGGGAGGGGGAGGGGAGGGGGGGGAGGGGAGGGAGGGGAGGGGAGGGGAGGGAGGGGAGAGAAGAGAAGGTCAGGCTAGACAGAGCTGCTGGTTTGGGAGATGTCAGCCTAGGGATGGTATTAAAATCCATGAAATGGAGCCACAGGACGGTCAGAGAGCACAGCACCCGGCCTGCCGGCAGGAACGTACTTCCTGAATGGAAGTGGCCTCTTCTGAGAGGACCTAATTGAGGGCCCAATATGTGGCTGGAAAGCATTTTACAGTGCTTGAAAGAGAAATGCACTACATGTTAGAAA